CTCTGAATGAATGTATTTTTCCCTCCGGTTGGAAATTAGCAAATGTACTTCCTCTTTTTAAAAAAGAAGATCCTTCTGTAATGTCTAATTATAGACCAGTTTCATTGTTGAGCTGTGTTGGAAAAATCATGGAAAGAGTTGTGTTTAAATATATTCATAATTATTTTCATGACAATAATCTTTTTTATAAATATCAGGCTGGTTTTTTACCTGGTCACTCAACAGTGTACCAGTTAATAGAAACATATGACAACATTGTAAAAGCTATTGATGATGGAAAATTTTGTTGTATGGTATTTTGTGATCTTTCAAAAGCGTTTGATCGTGTTTGGCATAAAGGTATTTTATTTAAACTTAAAACATATGGAATTTCTGGTAGTCTGTACAAATGGCTTGAGAATTATCTTGAATGTAGATATCAACGGGTGATGTATCGTAACTTGTTTTCAACACCCAAACCCTTATTTGCTGGTGTTCCTCAGGGCTCCGTTTTAGGACCACTTTTGTTTTTAATTTATGTGAATGATGTTGCTGATAATATGGTTACTTTTTGTAGATTATTTGCTGATGACAATTCTTTGCAGCATTCTTCTCATAATATGAAAATTATTGAAAGAGACTTAAACAAAGATCTAAATGCTCTGGAACTTTGGTCTAAAAAATGGTTATTTAAATTTAATCCCTCTAAAACTAAAGCAATAATGTTTAGTACAAAGAAAAACATAGAATATCCTAAGCTTCTTTTTCAACAATGTCAATTGGACTTCATCTCTGAACACAAACACCTCGGAGTATTTTTTTCACACGACGCTAGTTGGTCACTGCATATTGAAAATCTACTGTCTAATGCCTACAAAAAATTATCTCTTTTGAAAAAATTAAAATTTAAAGTAAATCGAAAAACTCTCTCACTCATGTATACGTCATTTATAAGACCGCAACTTGAATATGCTTCAGTGGTATGGGGATGCTGTCAATATAGTGATAACGATAAGTTAGAAAAACTGCAACTTTATGCTGCTAGAATTGTAACAGGGTTAACAACTATAGCTTCTAAAGATTCACTATACTTTGAAACGGGATGGGAACCTCTTAGTTGTAGAAGACAAGAAGCTAGAATAAAAACTATGTTCAAGCTTCATAATAATTTAGTGCCTGAATTTTGACATTAGTACTAAAAAATCTGCTCCACCATCATACTTTGATTACGGTAACAGACGACTAAATGTTCTGCAAACCAGACTACGGCATAATTGCGTATTGAATAGCGACCTTTATAGATGCAATTTAATATCAAGTCCTTTATGCTCCTGTGGTAAAGTTGAGGATACATATCATTATTTTTTTGTATGTCCAAAGTATGAGAAAGCCAGAAAAGAATTCTTAAATAAATTTTTACAATTTGACAAGATCCACATTCTAGATACTCATGTCTTATTATGGGGGGTAGATTCATTGAATGCTGCAGAAAATGAACGTCTCTTTTCTTTTGTTCAATTATTTATTAAACATTCTGGTAGATTTCCTTGTTAGCATTAACTAATGTATCAGTATATGCATTGGCAATTATTGTATACTTTAAAACTTCATGTTTAACTGTGACGATTTAAATATGTAATTTACATGTAGGGAGAGGGCGTAATAAGTTTTCAGAACTTGTGCCCAATCCCATTGTATTTATTAATTACAATAAAATATATTCAAACCAACCTTCCAAACATACTTGGGGTTTTGACCCCGTTACCTTGACCTTGAAGTTTGACCTACTTTTCGAAATTTTTATCTCTGCTTATAACTTTTAATTGAAAATAGATAGGGCTTTCATATTTAACATGTACATTACCAACGAGGAGTTGTTTCTGATCATGCTATGATTTTGACCCCTTGACCTTGACCTTCAAGTTTGACTTAAAAAATTTTCACTTTGGTGATTACTTTTGAATAACATATGATACGACTCTCATATTTGACAAGTGCATTTCCTATGTCAAAATGTTTCCGAATGTGCTATATTTGACCCCGTGACCTTGACCTTCAAGTTTGACCTAATTTTCGAACATTTTATCAGTGTTGCTATCTTTTGAAAAGCGGAGATTAGGGCATTCATATTTTTGACTCGTGCATTACCTGTGACAAGCATTTCCAAATGTACTCTGACTTTTAACCCCATGACCTTGACTTTGACATTTGACATGTAAATGCCATATCTTCTCTCAATCAAAAGTTATCAGCAATGTTAAAATTTTTGAAAAGTAGGTCAAACTTTAAGGTCATAGGGTTAAAATCATATGTGCATTACCTGTTTCAAGACCTTTCCAATTGTATACTTTGGTTTTTGATATTTTTTTTCACATGTGCATTACTTGTGACAAGACCTTTCGGATTTTAATAAGATATTTGACCTCATGACCTTGATCTTGAAGTTTGATGTAGTTTTGAGAAGCTATAATCTTTGCCATAACTGTAATTAATTCAATAATTTGTCTTTTTTGTATAATGCACGGACAAGACAAGACACACAAACAAGACATTTACGATATGCCATAATAATGGTATCCCATCCACTCAGACACCGAAAGCGGGGGACCACAATTATTTGAATTTGCTTGTTTCCTGTAGTGTTATGTGTGTGTGTTGGGGGGGGGGTAAACTTCATCGAATATGATGATGTAATTTTTGCAGAAAACGTAACCAAATTCGTCTAACTTATGCTTTGACTCAATTTTGTACAAAATCTTAATCACATCGATGAAAGTACATCCGATGTGTTTCACAAACTTTGTGTGAGCATTAGAAAAACGATATGTTGGACACATTATAATGTGGATCATAGCAGAACTGTAAGTAGATGCCATGCAAAATATTTTTAGAGGGCATTTTAAAATAATCTCAATCTCAATTTTACTTATCCGTTCTGGTATCTCAATGAAAACTACTTAAAAAGTGAGAAAAAGGTATTCTTATTTTTAATTTATTTACAAAACAAACATCCTTTATAGAATGTATTCAATTTTGGAAAATACACGTAACAATACAATTTCCTTATATGCAACCAAGCTACATCTATCTCCATCTGGGAGCATTTAAGAAATAAACAACGTTATTCAGTGAACATGGCGTTATGAATAGCAATTGCTCTGCTGGCATATTTTCCATGATGCGCGCTATTCATAATGCCATGTTCACTGAATAATCGTTGTTTATTATTTATATTGGCATTCTGTGATGTTGTCAAGAATATCGGAGGAAATCCTGGCTTATAAAGGAACACAGCTGCTTGTTTCCAGTGAAGAAAAACATTTTAAAATCAGTAGACCTGAATAATCCACCTTTTCACCAATAAATCACAAATAATATATATATATATATATATATATATATATATATATATATATATATATATATATATATATATATATATATATATATATATATATATATATATATATATAGTCAAACCTCGTTATCTCGAACTCGAAGGGACCGAGAAAATACTTCGAGATAACCGAGGATTCGAGATATCCAGGGTAAAATACTTAAGGAATAAGCAGTTGAGACTTCAAAATCACTTCGACATATCCATAGTGTTCGATATATATATATATATATATATATATATATATATATATATATATATATATATATATATATATATATATATATATATATATATATATATGTATCAATCTATCTATCTATCTATCTATCTATCTATTTGGAAGTATTTGCATCTCAGCCACAGTTATCTGGATACAAACCGCGTCATCTTCAAATATTCTCATAATGTTTTGAGGCAGCTGTGACGTTATTCTCATAATGTTTTGAGGCAGCTGTGACGTCATCGTTGTATTGAAACCCTCTGAGAAAACTTAATATTTTAACAGTATGATGAGAAAAGAGAATGATTTTAATATTGATTTCAACTTAAGAATGTTTAACTATGTTTTTTTAAGTTCTTAAATTCATTTTAAGAGCTGATATTGTTCTTAAAATAGTTATACTATTAAAGACATTTCGTTTCCTCTGAAAGTAAAACACCCTAGCGTGAAGAGTTATCGTTCTTTACAAAAATATGCATAAATATGAAACAGAAAAATTAAAGATATAGCAGTTTTTTCAATTTGTAAAAAGTTTAATTTTGCCATTAAATACATTGACCAAAATTAGTTTTTTTAATGATATAAATCAGTAATTCTAATCATTTTGAATTTCTTTTTTTCCGGAGGATATTATTATATTATATTATCATTATTCCTTTTGCAAATCATTCCATATATATACTTCTGAACACGTTATACTAGTGTGGCTGCTTGTACTGTGCGTGTGTGAAAAACGAATATTGCACTCATAACATGATGTTGCGTCTATAGGTTCATACTGGGAGGAAACAGAGAGAATGCAAATATTTGTAAATAGAAAAAATATATTTCTTATTTCAAGTTTATTAACAATACAAAACGTATTCAACATATCAAAAATAATAGTAATTTATAAGTTCAGGGAAGTACGTGTATTTCAATCATCAAAACCTCGAAAAACGTAGTTTTTTGCAAGTATTTCCGATAAATGTATATAATATTTATATAAAAAGAAATATTAATTCAAAATTTAAAAAATACAAATTACACCGATTAACACGGATTAAAAAACTGTCTTTTATTTCAGAAAAGCTATATCAGACAACGTAATGAAAATATCCATCACCTATCTCCATTCGTGCTCTCTCTTTTTTGATCTTCATTTGTAAATATATTTTTCTGAAAAATAAATATAATGAATATAAATCTTTTCTTCTTCAGAAATAGTATAAAACAAAACCGCCTCTTATAATATGAAAAATTTATTAAATACAACATAATGTAGGAATGAATGACTACCTAAACATGTATGATCAATGAATGACGTACCTAGTGACGTCTGGTCAGTACATGACGTACCTAATGACGTCTGATCATCATCACCGTTCCCCTCACAGATGTTTCGGATGTGATTGTAGGATATCAGGGATACTGCCAAGACTTTGGGTACCAGGGCCCGTTGAGGAAGGCTAGATGACAGTAGTTAAACCACCACCCTCCTCCCCAAGTTACAGCGCAATTAGCTCCCAAAGCTCGGTCATTATCTTTATCTGGGGTAGTGAAGTACATCCCAGACAGATCATTATTAGAGCTCCCTGTGCTTAACATAGCGTCACCTGTAAAATGAGAGAAAATAAATCATCAAGTTAGCATTTAATTCTTCTTTTCATAAATATTCAATTCAATTCTGTACTTATCAATTTCATAATCTGTATGCTTAAAATACCGTCACAAAAACAGAAAAATACAGCATAATAAAAATATAAATACACATACATGTGTGGGTGTTATATTAAATTTGACAACGGGTAGAAGCAGTAACAGCAAGATAAAATACACATACTTGTATAATGCCCTATCTAACTCTACAAATATTCATGGCGCTTTATAGATATAGAATTTTGTGAAAACGTACAAGAGAATATCGACTAAAAAGATGCATAAAATTTTAAACTTATACAATGCACTAGAATGTAAAGTATTTAGTTGAATTTAGGTGTAGATGGAACGGGTAGATATGAAATCATTCGTATAGAAGTATCTTAGACACTGTGAATAATAATTTCTTGAAGTACCATATTAACAAATAGTTTCAAGAAGTACCTTATAAACACCTAGTAAATTAAAGAAATGTAAATAACAATTACCTAAGTTTTGCCGTAAGTCCGTTACATACGAACTGACAAAACGATCTCTCTCTCTCTCTCGCTCCTGTTTATGGACCAATTATACCTATGACGTACCTAAGGTTCCCGTGGCATTCCCTGCCAGAAAGAGTTGATAGTTTTCTGATTCATTGGACACAGAGAATCGGTCATATAATTCATACAGTTTCGTATCATTCTGGAGAGTGACCGAAACATATAGGTATGAGTTTTCCCCCCTTGTTAACTGATGGATTACGTCATTTCCTGCAATGATTTATATTCAAATCAGTTATTAAGTGTATTGCAGTACTTTTAAATCTTTATCAGATATACCTCTAAGAAAAACAAAATTACAATCTTAGGTTTTGTTTTTTTTTGGTTTTGTTTGTTTGTTTTTTTTTTTTTTTGTTGTTGTTTTTGTTTTTTTTTTTTTTTTTGGAAAATCATAATTCATACTTTAAAACTTTACATGAGTAGATATTCCGGTTATGAAAGGCGTGGTTATATCGCTTTAATCAAGACTTTTTTTATCCCTTATCTTACTTCTTTTTCTTTTTTACAATAATTTATTAATAAATTCAATTATGCGTTGTAAAAAAAAAAGGTTGAGAGAAATATAGGATTAATAACACATTACTCTGTTTTTAATTCAGCTCTCTAATTTGCTTCAAAAGTTGATAGATCTTTGGTCAATTTTTTGAAGGGATCAATGGTTGAATTTAAATAAGATTTAGACTTACCGATCCAGACGTTCTTTTCCTTGGCACCAAAACCATTTTTATAGTCCGTCCAAGTCCTGTTAAAGCTTACAGATCCGTCTAGTCGTTTTTGGATTACCTTTGAAAGAAGTATATCTATATTTTTAGGTATGGTGACATTTGTTCTATTTATGTTAACATTCATTGGGCTAGTGTGATGATGAATGTATGTCTACATTTATTAGGCTGGTTTGCTGTTTGTTTACATTTGATAGGCCAGTATGGTGAGGACCATTCCTAAGACTTATATGTAGTAAAGTTAAACTAAAATAAATTTCACTTATTTAACCTTAAAATTGAGATTAAAATTGTATCATGCTTGGTAAATTTTACCCGTTGAATAAAACTTTTTAAAAAAAAAAGGATCATATAATTACTATTGCTTTATCCAACATTTGGCTTGAAATGCTTTTGAACATTAAAAAGATTAATGTTCCAGATTTTCTTTGAGAAAGGTTTCGTGCTATTCAGTGAGAAATAAGCATGTAGATAAAATAGCTATTTAAGTGTATAATGTATTTATCTGAAATGTCAAATGCTTATCATATCGATCTAAAATCTTCACCCCCCCCCTCCACATTCTGAAAAAAAGATCTGAATAGGTAAGTCAAGATTTTTGCTAATGCACGCCCTATCATAACGTTACAAAGCAGCATAACACTCGAAGTCTATTAATTAGAAGAGCTAACTTACAATCTGCTTTAACTAAAACAAATGCCTTTAACTCAACAACAAGAACCGAAATAATAATAATAAGTATCAGAATGGTCTCTACTTTTATATGTGTTATACCTCCAATGCACTTTTAACACACATTTTAAGAATAAAATAGATTTTATTCCTGTAATTTTTAAATTGTATCTACAAGCATCTTTCAGCATGTGAGGACAAAATAGAGTGAGATAAATAGCGAAACTATAATTGTGGGTTTTTATATTTTTTATTTGTGTTTGTATTTTGTATTCACATTTCATATTCCAATTGTAAAGCTTTATAGATTAATTACATACCGTCCAACCTCCGTCCATCGTTTCCATATCGCAGTAAACTCCGACAGGAAGGGACTTTGTTCCGTATGGGTAAATATCGTATACACCTGAATTGATGTACGAATTTTCACGAAGATCCTTGCAATCTAAAGGAAGAACTGAAAAAGAATTTTCTTAATTACACTTTGAAATATTTAACGCTGGTTCATATTAGATTAAAAGATCGCCTTCTTTTTATTATGGTGAATAAAAAAGAAGGATTTGTGATGGTACAAAAAAGTTTTAAAACTGAATTTATATCAAAATATACATTTTTAGGGTATTGTCACAGTTTATTTCAATATCACTCATGTATTTTTATTTCATTATTGTGCACAATATCTTTCTGATCAAAGCTTATTCAACAGAAATAACAAAAGAGAGAATATATTTAGAATATATGTATGATGAAGAATAAACTTGTAATTTTCTGAAAAATAACACCCCAACACCCCACCCCCCACCCCCCAAAAAATGATGATAATAATAAATTAACGATAAACCAAAATAGCTCCTAGACCTGCTACAAAGAATTTACGAAACCGATAACAATAATTTGTGATCTGTGTGATTTGTGAAAAAAAATGCAAACATTCCGGAAAGTAGTATCTCCATCCGGTCTCGTTAGACATTCCGGAAGTGAAGATCTTCTTGTGAGTCCGGCACTTCTTAAGCTTAGAATTGTATCCAAATAGATCACAGTCCTTCTGACACATCATAGCACACTCACTTAATGAACGAGCTTCGTATCGTCCTACAAGTTCATTACTTGACTTTTTATTATCGAATTCCAGTTTTTCCGTATATCTCCGGGAAAAGCCGGCGGCATGAGACGCCGTTAAGAAGGAAGCAATTAGATAGACAGCACACAGACTGATCATATTGTACGTTGCGTGTAGCACTATTTAGAGCGTTCCTGTAAAAGTTTACAATTGATCCTTCACTTACCAAGTATAAATATCAGAAATTTAAACTGTCACTGAAAAGAGATTGGCTAGTTATTCCGTACCTGCCTATTGCTGAAATATTGATTCTGTTACATTCAGAAGAATTTTTTTTAATATATATATATATATATATATATATATATATATATATATATATATATATATATATATATATATATATATATATATATATATATATATATATATAAAGCACTAAAAACCAACAACACTGTATATCCTAAGTGTCGGATCTACTAAGTAGATACAAGGTCACGGATGGAAATTAATATAAAGCACTAAAAATGAATTGTCAAATTTTCGGGACGACCTGTCCCTTCCTCAGGACAAAGAAAAAAGTTAAGAAGTCATAAAAACAAAGGAAATAGAGAAGCAAAAACAACTAGCACTACTACTAAACTACCAAACACTAAATATTTACAATGTTACATGTTTAATTTGGAGTTTATTAACAGTTGTGAACAAAGAAATCCGGAGCGCTATGAATTATAATAATAATAATAATAATAATACTTTATTTAAAGAGGGTAACTCAATTAGTGCGAGCACTATTCTTCCTTGAGGCCCTCTATAAAATTACAATAATACACAATGATAAATAATACATTTGACAGTAATATAACACAATATACTTTAACAATACATGCAATATTAAATTAATGATACATTCCGCAGATATACAATTTTTAAAATTTAAGATGATCGTTGGTCTATTATAAATTTTCTTGTCTTGATTCTAAAATTTTGAAGTGTTGGGCACATTTTTACATTTAAAGGTAAATTGTTCCACAATACTGCACCCGAATATTGAAAAGAATTTTGAAATATTTTAGTTTTGTGTTTTGGAACACACAAGTCAAAATTAGATTCAGATCTTAGATGGTGGGAATTGGATGATTGGTAATTGAACATTTCAGACAGGTAGTTCGGACTTGCACCGTAAAGCGTTTTATACAACAACACTAACTTATTTACAGCCAATTGTTCATGCACTGACAGCCAATCAAGTTTTTCAAATAAAGGTTTTGATGGCGTGTCATAGGCAGCATCTAGAATACAGCGAGCTGCCCGTTTCTGTAACTTATGAATCCTCTCAAGGCTAGAGGCTGATGCATTACCCCAAATTGTTAAACAGTATTCAATTGATGGCATTATATAAGCATTATAGAATAACTTTCTTGTATTGATTGGAAGATATTTCTTAATCCTGCGTAATACAGATATCTTTCTAGATACTAATTTACAAACAGCATCAATATGTGTATTAAAATTGAGTGAATTATCAATATGAATTCCAAGTAGTTTTTCATGTGTGACACTCTCAAGAAAGTGGTCTGAAATTTGTAAATTTAGATTTGACCGTCTTTGATGTGTCCCTAACAACATGCATTTTGTTTTACCAGTGTTCAAAATCATCTGATTCTGAGAGCACCATGTTTCTATATTGTTTAAGTCAAGGGATAACATATTTTGAATGGAAGAAACATCACTGTCAGAAACGTGTAGAGTAGCATCATCAGCAAATAAGTCAATGCTTGAATTTTCAATGAACAATGGGAGATCATTTATGTAAAATAAGAAGAGAAGTGGACCTAAAATTGATCCCTGTGGCACTCCCGCTGTGACTAACTGTTTTTCAGATCTTATATTTCCAATTTGGACACTCTGAAATCTACAGTCTAAATATGAGTCAAACCATTGTACTGCTTTGGGGTCAAAATTGTAGCAACGAAGTTTTTTAACCAGAATATCATGATTCACTAGATCAAAAGCCTTGCTGAAATCAAGAAAGGTTATGCCGACAAGTTTACCATTATCCATTGCTTGTAACCATTCATCAATTAGTTTAGTAAGAGCAGTTTGGCATGAGTGTGATTCTCTGAAACCTGATTGTGATTTGCGTAGTAAATCATAATCTGATAAGTATTTACGGATATGATTAGCGACATGTTTTTCAATTATTTTTGACAATGTGGGGAGGATAGATATTGGCCTATAATTACCTGGATCAAGTCTATCTCCTTTCTTGTATATGGGCGTTACCTTTGCAAATTTTAATTCATTTGGAAAAATTCCTGTAGAGATACTGACATTAATTAAATGAGTGACAGATTTGTATATGACTGGTGCAGCATGTTTTAGTAGACGTGGACCTATTGTATCGATACCAGCCGATTTATTTACATCAAGTTTGTTCAATAATGCTAACACGTCATTTTCACGTATAAGTGGAATACTAAATTTATCACCATGTTCAAGCTTGGTTTGTGTAAATTGCAATAATTTCTCATAATCAAAATTTTTCTCAGCGATATTCGAGATAAGTTTGTTCGATATACCTGTAAAATGATTGTTAAAAATCTCAACAATTTCTTGCGTGTCCTCAGTGGTACTATCATTGTCAGATATAGACATTGGTACAAAATTATGTGATTTTGATGCTAGTATGTTCAATGTGTTCCACATTTGTTGTGGATTTTTGCTTTGCTCTATGGTTGACCTATAATAGTTGACTTTTGCACTGTCTATAAGTGCTGTGACCTTGTTTCTCCAGATTCTGAAATTTTCAAAATCACCACTTTGATGGAAACTGTCACGCATATGTTGTGTCTTAGTGATTTCTGGTGTTAACCATTTAGGGCGATAATTATTTTTTACTCGCTTAGTTTTAATTTTTGCATGTTTGTCTAATACTTTGTTAAATAGGGTATAAAAGTTTTTCAAAATTTCATTTGGGTCACATATGCTTTCCAGTGATGTAAAATTAGCACTATGTAAATCATTCAGGAAATCGATCTCATTGAAGTTTTTAAAGCATCTATATGATATCTCAGTGTGCTTTCCTTTATGTAAAAAGAATTTATTTGTTTTTCTTGTGAAACACACAGGGTAGTGGTCTGACAAAGCAATGGGGGGCACTTGAATTTCACTCATGTTTTCGGGTAAATTAGTGTAAACATGGTCAATAAGTGTACTTGATGTGGTTGTAATTCTAGTAGGTAATTGAACTACTTGTGTAAAATCAAACTCGTCTAGAGCAGAGGTCCAGTACCGTGGGGGATCTTTGAGCAGGTCAATATTAAAATCACCGGTTAATATAATTTCACTTTCATCACAGCGGGAGGCACAATTTATCTCCCTAGCCAATTCATCAACCCAGCTGGAAGTAGCAGATGGGGGCCGATATGCAGAACAATAGAAAATTGGTTTAGAATTGGGAATTATAATTTCAAGCCATATTGTTTCTATTTTATTTTGTTCAAAGTCATTTCGACGCTTATAATTTAGACCTCTAGACACATAGACCAAAAGCCCCCCGCCTGCTCTACATGATCTATCCTTTCTCTCAAAAACATATCCATTTATACTTAATTCATTATCAGCTGTTTTTTCATTTAAAAAAGTTTCACAAACCCCAAACACATTCAATGGTTGTTCACTATTTAAAAGTAATTGGATTTGATCAAATTTCGGCAAAATGTGACAAACATTTTAATTCCCAAATTTTAGTCCCTTATTATTTAGGCCAAATGGTGATTGTGAATTTCTAGATTTTTCGGGGGGATGATTTGTATACTTTTTATGAGGAGCTTTGAATTTTTTGAATGCACCATTGTTTGTATGAATTTCTGAAGTTTCGTTTTTTGATAATGAATTTACAGAAATTTTAGGGATATGTGGCTTGTTTGAATTAAGGCCTATGGCAGTATATAAACATTTACATTTTACGTTGTGGCATTCTGGACATAAGTTTTTAAGTACTTCATAATGGTTTTTACAACTAGGATAACTGTTATTTGTGATGACGGCTGTACATTCATCGCCGATTCCCTAATATGCACAAAATTTAAGTTTGTGACCAACTTTGCCACATTCCCAGCAAGTAACTTTTCTCCCATGCCTGCAGTTTCGTGCGGAATGGCCCTGTTCACCACAGATTGGACAGGTGTATTTACGGGATGTATTAAGGCGGTCTTGTACTCTGTCGCATTTCAAAATATTCACATGTCCTTGCATGATCCTGAGTAACGAAGATGTTCCTTTGTCAGAGAGATGGATTCCGTCCTTCCAGTACAATTCCGGGTGAGGTTTCTCTTGCTTAAACACCTGTGTTGTGGATATCACTGTAGCTCCGTATTCCTCACAAACATATCGAATTATATTATTGATTTCGCACACATTGAAATCCTTCCTTGCCAACACTTCACAAATAAACACTTGTAGACTAGAATTTCGGGACTTGAGATCGGTGATAATTTCCACAAGATCATTTTCAATGGTCTCCATGTCACGGTTGTTCCCGACATCATTTCCCCCAGCAAGAATAACCACATTACTGTAGGAAGAGACATTCATCTTAGCTAATTTTGCCCGAATATGAGAGACTTGGGCTCCTCTGTTTGTGGTAACTTGGACACAGGGCAGTAATCCACGGGTTTTGATTCTCTGCAGTATTGAACTCCCAATCAAGAGCACAGATTTCCCATCTTCTGGCTGTCTCCGTACTTTCTTCGTCTTTTGGCTCATTGGTAAATATGGACTGGATTCTGCATCCGTGGATGTGCTTGAATCTGTCCTGTTGGCAGTTAAGGTGCACTGTGTGTGTCTGGAGACTCCGTTTAAGACAGGAAGACCGTCAGTAGTTGTTCCTTTCTGTTTCAGAGATTTATTTGATGTTTGAGTTGAAGTACTTTTACATGTCTCTCTTTTAGGAAGCAACTGCTTTTTTAGGTTTTCAACTTCCTGTGTTAAAGTTTCAACCATTTCAGAGAGTTGTTTGATGATCTCTGCACTGCTGCATTGGTCACAATTAAGATCCACAGCTAGTTTGTTATTTTCTCCAGATTTGCAGGTAGATTTTGGAGTGGATGCATAATATGGAAGTGGTTGCTGAATAACCAGCTTGCATTCTGTAT